CATACTCATGCAAAAATATGACTTGATTTAATTTCTAATTGCGTGACGAGATTTACAGCTATTTTTTAAAACGATTTATATAGTAATTTATTTTACTCATATATTCATGCAATTATATGAGTTGTATTCTATATTACAATAGCGTAACAAAATTTCTAGCAAACTTGCCTACGACTTATCATAGACTTTCAATTCATACTCATGCAAAAATATGACTTGATTTAATTTCTAATTGCGTGACGAGATTTACAGCTATTTTTTAAAACGATTTATATAGTAATTTATTTTACTCATATGTTCATGCAATTATATGAGTTGTATTCTATATTACAATAGCGTAACAAAATTTTTAGCAAACTTGCCTACGACTTATCATAGATTTTCAATTTATACTCATGCATTTTTATGATGTGATTGACTTTCTAATTGCGTGACAAGGTTTATAGTTTTTTTACTTTTGGATTTATATAATAATATATTTATATTTTTTTATGCTATTATATTAGTTTAACTCGAAATTAGTAGATTCTTGTATATATTGAAGCTGGAATAAAGGGGAAAAATAAAGTATTATAAATGTTATTCTCACCAATTGTCCTCGTTTTCATTGCCTTGGAATTCTGCCTTCTCAGTTATCAACACAGTTGGAAGAATCACTTTATAATTAATTTTTTACACTTTCTCGTTTTATTAAACTTATTAGTTTGTTATGTAAACAAACAAACATAACCTCTCTTTTTAAAAAACACATTTTTACACATTTCAATGAACGAGTTTTACTTTAAAATTTCACTTATCACTATTTTTATTTTTTTAAACTGCTTCTACATTACATCTTTACTACTGTCACTTCTTATTTCTTTTATTTAAAAACAATCACCACTTGAAATGAGCAACATCCACTTGCAGGAACATGCCGTTATACCGATGAGAAGTATGAATATTCGCCACATTGAACTTTTTAGAATTTTTGAGGTGTCGAATTAAAAATTATCGAATTTATATTTAACATGATTTTATAAAATAAACTTTAAAACTCAACTGAATTTTTTGTCGTAAACTTTTCATTTAACCGAACTTTGTGAAGCAGATTTTCAAATTAACCAAATTTTCATTTAAGGTTAAATAAAACTACCAAAGTATTTATTCAGATGAGACGAATGTATAAAAAACTGAAATTTTTCGACCGTACCAAATTGCAAATATACCAAGAGAAAATTTTTCAAATTATATAAAGTTCTACTTTGCTAGAGAATCGTAAACTTTTCAATGGTGTAGCGCGCGAATGTACACAAAATTCAAAATTTGATAAAGAATATTTTATACACCTCGGCTGCCTGTACAGGCAGCAGTGAGAGTAAGAGAGAGGGAAAATTTGAATTTGCATTGAATTCAATTTCACTCTCTCTCTCTCTCTCTCTCTCTCTCTCTTACTCTCTTACTCTCAGTGCTGCCTACGCAAGCAGCTAAAGTGTGTAAGTGCCCTAATGTGGCTCACTCACACTTCACTGACTATACCTGTCTGCCTACAGGAATTGTCATGACGACGTGCAGAAGTAAGAGAGAGAAAATTCAAATTTGAATTTACTATCTCTATTGCTCTTATACGTTGCCATGACAACGCCTGCAGGCAAGCAGCCGCGAGGTGATGACAACGTTTTACGTTGCGTTTTGTCACTAGTAAATTAGTTTAAAGGAAATGAAAGTATAAATTTGTCTCTTTTAAATTTAAAGTCTAGTTAAAAACCGCAACGCAAAACATGGGACTTTATCTTAACTGCTATCTATGCAGGCCGACTGTTGTCCTTGTCCTATGCATGTGTTTCCATGGCAACATATGCGAAAGACAAGGATAAAAGATAAAGGTATATCTGGCCAAGAGTGTAAATAGAACAAAACGCTGAGTTAGTGGAAAAAAGGACACGTCATAGTTAAATCAAACGGATGTGTCCTTTTTTCTACTAACCCAGCGAAAAATGCTAAAGAACATAATTTACAAGAATATGTCACTTCGTAAAGACAAGTATGATTATGGGTGAAATCACATGCAGGCGTAAAATAATAAATTTTGTAATTTGACCATGAATGGTAAAGAGACAAATGTCCACACGTGATTATAGATATGCTTACACATTTTTGTCCTTTTCTAATGCACGTGTTGACATGACAACACGTGAGTTAGAAAAGAACAAAAATGTGTAGGCATATCTGGCCACGAATGTATACTTGCATTTATTTTTTATTCCATAGGCATTAAAGGCCTGAGCAGAATAGAAATGTAACCGGAATCGTAATCGCAAACTCAACCGGAAGAATGAGTTAGAGAAGGATAAACATATTGTTTGTCCTTTTCTAACTCATTATTCCGGGTGCGTTTGCGATTACGATTTCGGTTACGTTTCTATTCTGCGTTGGCCTTAAGGCCCTTTCCAGAATGGAGCTAAACGCAACGCAAACGCGACACACCTCCATTTGCTTAGCATTGCGCTGCGTCGCGTCTGCGTTGCGTTTGGCTCCATTCTGGAAAGGGCCTAAAGGCCTTTCTCCAATAGGAACCTAAACTTTTGCGTTGCGTGACTGACGCGTTGATTTTAGCATTGATTGCCAATAGCAATCGACGCAATGCATACGCAACGCAAGAGTTTAGGATCCTATTGGAGAAAGGCCTTCATGGAGCGGTCAAGGCCTGAGCAGAATAGAAACGTAACCGGAATCGTAATCTCAAACGCAACCGGAAGAATGAGTTAGAGAAGGATAGACATATTGTTTGTCCATCTCTAACTCATTCTTCCGAATGCGTTTGCGATTACGATTCCGGTTACGTTTCTATTCTGTTTAGGCCTTCACAGCTCGACTGCCTGCCTGCCTGCGGGCAGACGGGGCAAGGGGGCGACATGAGTGTAAGCGAGAAGAAAAACTTGCATTTTCTCACTTACACTCATGTCGCCCCGTCTGTCCGCAGGCAGCCGAGCTGTGACCGTACCATAACATGGAGCTTCTAGACACCTGTGGATAGGGTGTAAAGCCATACATTTGTCCTGCAGTGGGATTACGAATAGCGCTAGTCGCTATGTAGCGCTTTTCGTTATTAAGAACTAAAAACTTACATATTTTTAGTGAAATTTGTTCCAAATCATGACCAATATAAAATACCGTTGACAGTTTCTTCAAATCTTAAACTGGAAGATGGTAATTTAGAAGAAAATATAAACATAACCCCCCTAGATAAGGACATTGACATAGAATTCATGTCAATTTCCTTAAATATTTTATCTACGTAGCAAACAAATTCAATATGAAGGTGGAATCAATTTTCTAACTTCATGTTTGCCAACTGTTAGTTTCAAATAAAATAGTTTATTAGTGACGAAATAAATTATACTGTAATATTGGAAATAACTTATGAATTTAATAAATAACACTTTTAAAAATAATTTATCTAGTTTAATGTTAAAATAATTTATAAAGGAAATAAATTTTTTAAATTTAATTTAATGAATAAAAATTAAGAAAATTAATCTTATAGCAAGAATTAAAAATAATAATTAATAATTAAAATTTGTTTTCCCATTTTAGTCAATGTCTGATAGAAACTTTTAATCCTATGAAAAAGATAATAAATATAAATGCAATAAATATTTTATTATTAATATAAAAAAGAAAAGTAGATAGTTTATTATTATTAGATAAAGTTTAATTATTTCCTTGATTTTTTGTAAGGATAGAAATTTGAAATAAATGTCTCCTTTTTTCTTATTTATTATTATTTTTTATTTAGTTTATAATTATTAATTATAAAAAATTAGAGGTTTAAATTAAATGTATTAGGAAATATAAAAGTTAATATAACAATATATTATAATACTAGCAAAATTAAAAGCGCGAAATTAGACATTTAATTGTTTTTTATAAAGAACTGTTAAAGAAACCAATTCTGCAATAAGAAAACACAATTATACAAGTTGGAAAAAATGAGAAAAGTAATATTCAAAATTTGACACGTCATAGTATTACAGTTCAAAAAACACGTAAAGTTAGCATAGACTAACATCAAGGTAGGACAAAAGGACAGACCAAGCATTATATTATTATACATATAATAATAATAATTTTTAGATAGAATATTCTCCTGGAAATTAAAAAATCCCTTAAACAATTAAATAAAATTGAACAGCATGTCTGTATTATTTTTTTACTGTAAAACAACACTTATTACCTTCAAAAAAACCTACAAATTAAACCTCAATTGCAATAGAATAAAAATAATCAATTTTTTTCACTTTTTTTGATAGAATGTTTTCCTGGAAAATAAAAAAATCCCTTACAAAGTCAAAAAAAATTAAACAGCATGTCTGCATTATTTTTTTACTGTAAAACAACACCTATTACCTTCAAAAAAACCTACAAATTAAACCTAAATTGCAATAGAATAAGAATAATCAATTTTTTTCACGTTTTTTTGATAGAATGTTTTCCTGGAAAATGAAAAAATCCCTTACAAAGTCAAATAAAATTAAACAGCATGTCTGTATTATTTTTTTACTGTAGAACAACACTTATTATTTTCAAAAAAAAACCTACAAATTAAACCTCAATTGCAATAGAATAATAATGATCCATTTTTTTCACTTTTTTTGATAGAATGTTTTCCTGGAAAATAAAAAAATCCCTTACATAGTGAAATAAAATGAAACAGCATGACTGTATTATTTTTTTACTGTAAAACAACACTTATTACCTTTAAAAAAACCTACTAATTAAACCTAAATTGCAATAGAATAAGAATAATCAATTTTATTCGATTTGTTTTTATAGAATGTTTTCCTGGAAAAGGAAAAAATCCCTTACAAAGTCAAATAAAATTAAACAGCATGTCTGTATTATTTTTTTTACTGTAAAACAACACTTATTACCTTCAAAAAAACCTACAACTTAAACCTGAATTGCAATAGAATAAGAATAATCAATATTTTTCACTTTGTTTATTATTATATAATTAATTATTTATCGTTGTCCCGAATTGCTTTTTTTATAATTTGTGATATTTGAAGCGTTACACTTGAAAAATTTGTCAGGTTTGTAGAAATTTTTTTTAATTGCTGCATTTCTTCATCGTGGCAAATTCTTATGACTTTGAGACATTCTTGATTCTAAAAAGAAATGGTTAAAATATAAAATAAAGCAAATATGAGGAAAAAATACAAATTCGGAAAATTTGATTATTAATAGTTTAGACTAGCTTTGAGCTAGTTAATATATTAATAATAACATTTTTAATCATAAAACCAACCTCTAATGGTACATTAGACATTTTTTTGACCACTGCTGCTGGTATTGCTTCTTCTAAATCGACCTATTAAATTGTATTAAAGTTATATATAAATCATAAAAATTTAAGTATATTTTATTTTTGAAAATTTGGAATTTTAACTTACATCAGAGTCAGATTCTGGTATTCCAATTTCTTTGGTTACGCCATCCCCTAAAAAGCAACTTTTGCCTTTTACAGACAAAAGTCGGTCTTCCAACCCCGTTATACTAACATTGGCGTTGCTGAAATTGCCTCTTCCAGTGGTTCGTTTGCACCGTTTGATATTGGCTAATTTTCCTTTCGTGTTCGATACCCATCGCGACAGAAACTGTCAAATAAATTCTTTTTAATTGTTATACAATTAAATATATTAATTATTAAGTATATGTGGAAAATTGAAGCTCAAAATGTATATTGTTAATAAACAAATTAAATAAAATGGCCTTTTTGTTTTCGAGATATTAATTAATTAATGTTATTAAAACATGAAATATTTTACAAACAAATAGTCACCGTGATTCTAAAATTTCCAAGTAGCACCGAATATTACAGTAATATTACTGTAACATTAAAATGTCCGCCTCATGGTAATATTACCGGTTAATTTTACAGTAATATTATAGTAACATTACAAAATATTACTGTAATATTACAAAAAATTTCAAAAACATTTAAAAATATTTGATTGATTAATTCTTTTTTTTTGTCATAAAAAACTTTGAAATTTTTATGTATTTCAAATAAACGTGTAATATTACTGTAATGTTGAGGCTGAAATTTTAATATTACTGTAATATTTACGTAATTCCGCATCCAATGTTCTCATTTTTACAATTGGATCACTTTAAAAATTTTTCCACATATTAAGAAAAAAATTTTACCTTTTGCCATTGAGGAGGCGATCTAGAATTTCTTTCTGTGTTCATTAAATTTAATTCTTTTGAAATTTCTGCCCATTCTTTATTATATTTTTGCCTTGACAAAACTTTAGTAAATTTTTTTGTCAACAACGTCGGATTTTCCTCAATACACTCCAAAATTCTCTGCTTCTGCTCAGATGTATTATTAATTATTAAATGGTATTATTAAATGGTTTTTGAGTTGTCTAAGATTTATAAAAATTTTTAAAAAAATAAGAGTATCAATGTCGATAATTAAGGTTCTGTTTGAAATGGAATAACTTTAACAAATTTGTTTATTAAACTAAAAAAATCGCAAAAAATTACATACTAAGTTTTCCAGTAGTTATTCCAGTAATTCTTCTTCATAAAGGATTATTTCATGAAATAGTGGATTTTATCGTTTTTGTTGCGAGCTATTAAGGATGCTGATTTAGATGTATAATTTTATGATTATCATTTAAAAAGTGTTTACAATAAACAATTAGCCAATAAACATTAAAGTCTTGAAGGCATACTTGATTGATTTTTAAAAATTTTAGAGAATTATAGGAGTTCCAATCATGACAACAACAAAAAATTGGAAAAAAACCTTTTTTGCAACAAGCCTAAAAATTGTTCTGTATAACTAAACAAGTTTTTAAATGAAGGTAACTTGTAGTTATTATTAATATCTATCCTGAAGTAATAAAGTCCCCTAAAATCGGAGCAATACACACTTTTACCAGAAGCACAGAATCGTCATGGGGAAGCCATTACATATTTTTAAAAAATCCAATTATTATTTATATTTTCTATTAAAGAAAGTGTACTAATATTATTTTGGCAAATACAGGGCTCGGATCGACTTTAAGACTCAAAAAAAGTCGCTTTAGTCTCATAAATTTACAAAAAAAGTCGCAAAAAGTCGCATGGAATTTCAGAAAAAGTCGCAAAAAAGTCGCATGAAATTTTAGACAAAAATTACAAAAAGAGGCATAAAACTGTAAAAATAGTAAAAAAATAACAAAATTTTAATGAGGTATTATTATAATTAAATGTAGAATGCAACAAATTCATGGTGGCGAGTTTTTTTCTGATTACAAATTCCCGGTCAATTTAAACAATTTCCCGGTCAAATTTTTATGAACAATTTAACATTATCTTTTAACTATTAAGTTTTTTTAAATAATTTTCTTTACGTTTTAAATAAGTATTCTGAATTTTGTAAACTTTTAAATTTTATTAATTTAATTTATTTGAAATTTATAAATTAATATTTTATAAATCAACAAATCTTTGGTAGTTGATAGTGAGATCTTTTAACGTATAACATCTAGATTAAATGTAAATGAGAAATACATTAATTTCTTTTAGTCTGTAAAATATCTAGTTCTTCTTGAATTAACGTTGCTTTTTCTGTAGCATCTTTGAGAATTTTCCGTTTTTTTGCTTGAAGTGTCTTAATTTCCTCAGATTGTCGCTTTTTGTCTTCTTTCTCTTTTAATACTTATTGGTATATTAATACCAAAATGGATTAAAATAAGCAAAAATTGATTAAAATAAGAAGCGTCGCAACTTATTTTAATACCTTTTAATTTTCTGTGTACTACTGTGAATTAAACTTCTTTCTTCAGTTCAGTAAAATATTATGACATTATAACATACAATATTATGACATTAGTAATTATAAACCACAGTTATATTTGTGAAATTAGAACAAATTTATTTTTGATGAATTTAAAAAAAATGTTAAAAAATGAAAAAATTCCCGGTTTAGTCATGAATTTCCCGGTTTTCTCGGTCACTTTTTGAAATCCCGGTCATTTCCCGGTTTCCCCGTCCCCCACAAAAATAATTTAATTATTTTTATAAAAATTATTTTATTTGATATCTTTGAAAAAACAAATGTAGTGATAATAATAATTTTTTAATGTAACACAATACTTCAAGAAATATAGAATAATTGGTTTAATACTGTCAGTATAAATAATCACAGTTCTCTATGACATATAGGTTAATTTGTTAAAATAATCATTCTAGATTTAACAAATAAAATCTTAATGGAAGATAAAGTTAATAAGTTATTTTTTTCATTTTCTAACTTCTTCATAAACGCAAATAAACTCGACAGTCGAACAAATAATTGACGATGGAACGTAGTTTTTTATTTTGTGATGAAACACAAAAATAATTTTTAATCGCAATTATTTCTTAACGCATAGAATAATCGGTTTAAAACTGACAATATAAAAACTATGTTTGCTATTTAAAATTTAAGTTAAAAAGTAATTGAAAAATCTAAAAAAAGTCGTATTAGTCGCATTTTATTCAAACAAAATCTGGAAAAAAGTCGATTAGTCGCACTTTTTCACCAAAAAGTCGAAAAAAGTCGAAAAAGTCGCACAATCCGAGCCCTGCAAATATAAATGTTGTAAATATAAAAAAATTGATAATTGTGGATAAGTTGTTTCAAAAATAAGTGTCGTGGTGAAAACTTTACTACTGAGCTGCTTGTGTTTTCAAATAGAAGAAAATTAACAACATTTTGTCCGGCTTAAAGCAGATATTTTATTCTTGAGCATTAAACTTGAAAATAATAATTAGATTTTTATTAAAGTCAATTTTGTTTCCTCATGGAGGAAGTATTTTTTAAATATCAGCAAACTAAATTTTACGCTACTCAGAAAATCACTTCCTTTGTGAGGAAATAATTATTAAAAATATAACTATAATGAATGGATGGGAATTTAAGTATTCAATTTATATACGTTTATATCTTTTTACATTTAGTAGGGAATACGTAATAATAGTCTTCTGAAATTTGAGAGATATGCACCTATAGAAAATTAAATATCAATTATAGTCAATGTATATCTGAAATACGTTGTACAAGATATAGACTTGTGTAAAATTAGCCTGAATTATCTGAAGTACCTTGAATTATATTGAAAAATCCTGAATTATACTATCGCAGTGATCCTTATCAATTAGCCTGTTCGCTTTGAATATTTCTGAAACACACTACTATAAACATGTCATTAATATTAGTAAAAATATTGTACTTTACACTTAATTATTGAGATTTAATTATCAACACCTTTTTAACGTCTTTTAAACCCTTTAAAGCATTGTGACACTCCGTATAGTGTTACAGCCTTGCACATTTTTACATTTTCTAAACATTATTTTATTTGTTTTAATAACAAAAAGTAAATAAAATATATTATAAGATATCCCTTACAATAACAAAGCAATAAAGAAATTAAAATGAATGTAATTATCATAAAACAAAAATATAAAACAATCTGCCGTTTATGCTTAAAAATTTTTTTAGGTCGATGATTACTATCTTGGAGTAAAAATTAAAAAATTCAAAATGATTGATCCAACATGACGGATGAAAATTCAAAATTCGTTTAGATTGACATGAAAAGAAAAATATACATATGCTTTAAAGGGTTCATAATATAAATATTATCTACAAATATTTGAATTATGCAGAAGTATTAGAATCATCCTGAAATATTGGAATAATACTGAAACATTCTGCATTACCTGAAGTATCTTGAATTACCTCGAATTTCTCTGAATTATCTTGAGTTACTTTGATTTATATTGAAATATCTTTAATTATCTTGAACCACTTTAAGTTATCTTGAATAACACAGAATTACTTTGTGAATTATTCTTAATTATTTCAAGTATTGAACTAGGTGTACACTTTATTATTTAGTTGTTTAGTCCTGGATTAGTCCTTATGAATTTAAAAAACCTGAAATGTGAAATAATAGTTTTCTTGAAATATGTACAAATACATTTTATAAAATTTCTGGACATATTACCTAAAATATTTCCGCATCTTGTGATGAAAATTAATACCTCCAAAACTCTTCAGCTAATTTTGAATGCAATGTACTTCTCATTATAAGTTGGACCACCTATCAAATACAATGTATCCTCACTAAAATGAAAAGGTACATTGCATTCTGCAATTTCTTTCTTCTTCAATTTTTAATCCTTATTAATCTTTTTTTTACTAATACTGATATGATTGTTTAATTTCTGCAATTATCATGGTTACGAGTATTGAAGCACATGCAAATTAATTTCAATACTTTTATTCGTTATTTTCATTCTCGATCGCTATGAGAATGACTGTCATACACATGCAAGTATGACTGCTTTGATTATCTAGAAATCAAAATTAAAACGAATGAACTCTTACTGATAATTATTATTCACAAATATATGAATCTGATTCATACACATGCAAGTATGAATTTTTGTAATTCGTGAAAGTTAATATGAAATTGTTCAATTTTTGCAACTATCATGGTTACGAGCATTGAAAACACATGCAAATTAGTTTCAATAATCTCTTTCATTATTTTCATTCTCAATCGCTGTGTGAATGATTGTCATACACATGCAAAAGTATGACTGCTTTGATTATATAAAAATCAAATTTTAAATAAATGACCTTTTATTGATAATTATGATTCATAAGTATATGAATCTTACTCATGCTCATGCAAGTACGATTTTTTTAACTACATGAAAGTTTATATGAAATTGAACATTTTCTGTAATTATCATGGCGGTAAGTAAATATTACCCAAACGTTGTTATTTTTGTTGTGGAAAGCGTTCGACCTGCCTTGAATTTAAAATTTTTATATAGTGTTCTCTCATTACTTGTGCATTTCTTGAAAAATTTTCTTTCATCATGTCTTTGCCTAGTAATATACTTACTGCGGTTGCTGAAGCATAGACGCCACAAGTAGTACCATCTGGCTGTATTGTAATCACAATTTTGGTAATTGCACATGGCTTAACATTTGGATAACGTTTTGACAAAAACGTTAGTTCTTCTTTTGACAAGTTTAGACCAACAACACTATCATAAACGAATAATTTATTTTTTTTTTATTATAATAGCATGTTCTCCAGTGATCAATACAATTACCACCTATAATTTGGATATCTTCATCATTTTTACATTCTCTCACTAAATCTGGTATTGCCATGTTCAAAACACTTAAAAATTCAAAATTTTTGTAATTAACTCCCAACAAAGCCAAAAATGTATCAAGATCTCGATCGTCTAACTTAACTTGAACGTTTAAAACGTTTCTTTCCACAGTGTCAATGTTACCGGAAGAACTGGCCAATAATATTTTGCGATCTTTTTGCTGCGTTTTCGGCTGAGTATCATTGATGGGTAAAAAAATAACTTCATCGTCCTCATGAATAAAAGTCTCTGTTTCAATAGAAGTCCTGCACTTTTTAGTATTATCATTATTATCTAAATTACCGTCCAGGTCCATTTCTTTTTTTATTTTTCTTTTAGCTGCCATTCTTTTTTTAGCAACAGTTTTATTTAGAAGAATAGACTCTGAATCAGTTACCGTTTTATCATCATCTTCTTCTTGTTCATTTTGATGATCAGAAATCTCTCCAGGTACTCTAATTTTCCTACTGCGTTTAAGGCGACTATCTACAATTTCAGGAAGTAGATAATCATTATAGAAGCTTTTTAATTTATGTTCCATTTTTTCTCTCCAAAAATTATCATTTCTAAAGACTGGAGTAACTTTCATATCTTTATCTGTCCATAACACTAAGAGGCCATCTTTTCTCCCAGTGTGATGCATTTGTCCTTGAAGTTGGTAGTAATAATGGTGATTTGTATTTATTGAGTTTCTCTGTTTTAAGTCATAGATTCTACTTAAATCTTTACTTTCACTGAGTAAGTCATCGATTGACTTATTTCTTCCTCTTGCAGGACATTTAATTTCAACGCAACATCCCTTTACAACTGGGTACAATAAGGGAGGCCTTTTCATTGCATCAATTCCAAAACTCTTACTGATTTGCAGTTCTTCCAAATTTAAGTCAATCAATCCATCTGGAGATGCTCCTAAGAACTCGTGAACTGGATCAATCCAAAGACCTGTACGATTTACTTTGCAATTAATTAATTTTTCTAATGCCCTTCTAGCATCTTCTTCGTGTTGAAGACCGTAAGTCATATTGGCATTAGGTTTCTTTCGACTATTATATAACATGTTAGAAATTATACGA